CAAGTTCTGAAAACATGAAAAATAAAGAAAAAAAAGTGAAGAAATGTGGTATCATGGCAGGGGAAGGAATCTCTGAAGGTTTTTTTTTTAATGTTTGCTGTGTTTTGTTTTGTGTTTTTTTTTTTTCTGTAAATGAGCAATTATCTCTCAGTAAATTGTAGCACAATGCTTGTCAGTACCATGTAAAAATTAAGCCCTTGAGATTACTTGTGTTTAAATTAATTTAGAAGGAATTACAAAACAGAAAATGATATTTCAGAGCTGGTTTAAAATTAGGAAAGAAATCGTGGCTGTTGGCCATGCAAATTATCTGCATGTATCCTATTTATTGGATTTTGTGTGCCAGTAAGTTCTGCATCCTGGAAAATCAGGAAATCAGGAAAATCTGGAAAATTCCAGTATCTTCTGGAATTTAAGATTTCCTATTTCCACAATCTTGGTGAATAGGAAATGGATATACATCTGGGTATACTGGGTACAACTGCATGTACTTACCATATGTGTGAGAAGTCTTATTTTTGGCAGTAATATACAACTTTTCCTAACCCAGATAAATGACTGAGAAATCCTTTAAAAGGAACTAAGAGCAATCCTAAGCTTGTAAATGAAACAATCAATGTTTACTCTTTGATAAACAGAATTTCAGTGCTGACCCACCTAGAAAGCAACTGTTGTGGATATTAGGGACAGAGCTGCAGATGGAATATTTGCTATGTATAAACATTTTCTTGGAGGATAATGGACACTGATGATGACAGCAGACAATAGATGAAGTAAAAAAAAAAAAGAAAACCACCATGTACTTGCAGTGTGCTTTTTACCTGTTAAAATACAAGTCTGAAGCTTTGGGCATTAAAATCTCAGAAATGCATTACGTAAAAATTTAGACAAATTATTTGTTTATAGGTCAGACATTTTTTCATTATGAAAATCAAGAATGCTTTGTAAATATCACCACTCTGATTTCAAATCCCTGTGGCTTTAATACTGTATAACTCTTGCTAAATATTTCATTTTTTGTATGTTTTTTGCTCTGAAGCATGCATGTGTGCAATGTGATTCAGACAGATGATTCTCTCTTCAAATCATGGATATTTTATTGAAATTTCTGTGAAGAATAGGGAGCTAGAGAACTGTTTGATCCTTGAAAATTGATCTCCAAGAATACATTATTTGAAAAACTTCTGTATTCTCCAGTATGTCAAAAAGTAGCCAAGGGGAAAGAAAGAATGAACATGAAAATACAAGGATGAAGATGGAACAGAATTGATAAGCAAGCAACATTTTTTTTAGCCTCACAGTTTTAGATCTGTTGATCTTGTCAGTGCAAAAATGATTGTTTAATTTGTATTAAAACCGAGTATCAGGCCTTCTCATGGGAGAAATTCCATAATTGTCAAAAGAAATAGTTTGCAGAATAGGAAATAAAGTGAAGGAAATCTTTCAAGAAGAGTTGAAGACTTAATCTGTAAAAATAACATTTATGATAGACTTAAGCTTACTCTGGGTCGGTAACAGCTGAGATCTTAATTAGCCACGTTGATCAGTGCCGCCCAATTGTATTTTCAGGGTCCTTCTTCTTTTGAACTTCCCCACTGCCTCTCGTTTAATGCATCAGTTACTTCTTAGAAGCACTGTGGCTCTGATTGGCTTTGAAAAATTAAGGCACCCTACAAACCCCAGGAGAGCTGATGTGAGGAATAACCATCCTAGGACTGAAGAAAAGTGATCATCTTCCCACTGAATGTAGGAGGCACTGGCATTCTGAGATGTATGCCACTTATTTTAGTAAACCAAATTCTGTTTTGATAATTTCTAATAGATAATAATTTGTGAAAAAATATGAGTGTCTTTTCATTTGCACAGTCTGCAGACTGGTGCCTCTCAAATCCATCAAGATTCCTTTGTTTCCCACTTCTGTACTTAATACCAAAGAGACGTAATGGAACTAGTTTCTGATTCTTAAAAGTGTGTGAGAAACACTTTGTTGTACTAAGCCTTGCACAGTCAGCATGCAGGAAAACATGATTCTGTCCATTGCTATTCCATCTCTCCACCCGAGGCTTACATCTGCCTCTGTGCATTAAGGTTTTGAAGATGAGGATTTTGGTGACAACAGATACTGTGCTTTTAGTACACACATGTAAGCCTTGAAACTCAGTGGTTACATATAACAGTAGTTGGAAGCAAAAGTTTCTCATTCCTATGATCTCTCCCAGCATGAATGCCAACCATTAAATCTGTTACGCTAATATTTCCTGAGATAACTGCCTTCAAACCGAATATATTTCATCCTTCCTGATATCATAGGGAAAAACAAAAGGATTTCTCAAGTAGTCCATCTTTTCTGAGATTTTTTCAATGTTTATTGAGTGACTTCAGTTGACCTTAATGATGTGCAGAAGAACACCATGTGTCCTTGTAGAAGTCCTACATTTCAGAGATTTAAGTCCTGAATTTCATTGCAATTCCCACTTGAGCAGAGATCATACTTCTGAGGCTTGAGAGCTCTCCAGCTGATAGCACTCCTAGAAAGAACATCACGCCAACCTCTGGAGGCCCGGTTGGTTTCCTTTTTGTTTGTTTTAAACCTCCCTTTGTTTGTCTTCTGTGCTTAACAGAGTAAAGTCAGAAATGGAAAGGTAAATAAAATCAAGTATGGGAATACTGTCATAGTGGGTAAGTTTAGAAGTCTGCTTATCACATGGCTGAAGCCAAACAGTCTCTTGCACGCATGGGAATGTACTCAAATAACAGCTGTTTTTGTGTGTGTGTGTGTGTGTATGACATCCACTGCATGTTGAGAAAACAGGATTACGTTTTAGAGAGTCTTCTTTAAGATAGAGGATGTGAAAATTGTAGAAAATGATCAGTAAATCAAAGATTCAACTTTCTATCCACTACTTTTACTGCAGGGAAAAAACAGACACATACTGCTGATGCCACAGAGTGTAAAACAACATATACAGCTCAGACAGGATGGGGAAGGAATACATTTTAATTCACCACCAGGTGGGGAGAGGTCAGATGTCTATTCCAATATCTTTTTTTTTTTTTTTAAATGGACACTTCAGAGGATGATTCCCAAATATATGCATACATGGCATTTACCTGTTAATACAGTATTCCAGCCAAGTCACTTTCCACTCCACAGGCAGATGAATAGGAGATTTTATGTCTTGTGAGGATTTTTGCTTCTATGTTGCCTTGATCAGTCCCATAAATATTGCTTTTTCAGCACTATTTCAAAGCGAAAAACTTATGGGAAGCATTTACATAAACTCTTTAAAATTCTACATCTGAACAGTAATACACTGCAGTAGAAGTACCAAGGGTCACTTGATTCTCCATAACTTAATGCCATGTGAGAAAGCAGTCTAAAGCATGAAAATCAGCCACTGAAGGAGGAAGCCTTATTGAAGAAACACTTGTGACTGCCTTCACCTGTTAACCATATGTTCTTTTTTTCCATGGTTCCTGTACTCTTATTACTATTAACTTTCATTTCTTCTCACTTCATATGCACATGATGTTTCTGTAGAGCTGCCTTCTACTGTCACTATCAAGGGACCAACTTTAGAAGAGGATTCTACTGACATTTAATATATAATGCTTTAGCTGAAACAATAACCTAAAGCCAAAAATGAGTACAGAAACTCAGAAAAAATAACTAAAATTAGTGAGGTTAATGACTGCTAAGAATTCTGCAGAGTGGATCTATAGATCATGTTGTCTTCAAACTGTGATAAAGTAACAAAGAAGCCCTCTACATCTCCAAACAGCAATTCATCAGCTTTAACACTGACAGAGACATTTTCAGATGAGAAGATTTTGAGAAATAAAAAGTTAAAGTTCAGCTGAAAATGGTGGTCAGCAATGTACTGTGATTCTACTGTTTTATTTATCTAGAAGAGAGTTGGAAAAGGCACCAGCTGCAGATTGCTCTTTGAGTTCCAGCTTGCACAAATTGAACTGTGATTAAAAAGAGAAAAAAGAAAGAGAAGAAAAGAGGAATAGCATTTTCAGTGGCAAAGTGATGCTCCAGCACTGCAAAAACATGAAGCTGGCATTATGATCATGCTAACTTTGGCCATCTAGTGGCATCTTTTCCATTATGAAAAACAACAAACAAACAATTATTAGCAATCTCTATTTTGAAGAGAGATAACCCCCCAAAAACCAGAATGCACATCAAGCACAACTCAAGAAACCTGCTTGGAGCTACATGCTTTCTTATTGATGCTGTGGCATAGAAAATATATGTAGAATCATAAAAATCAGGAAATGACTTGGGTTTGAAGGGACCTTAAAGATCTGGACTGCAGATGGGGCCTCATGAGGGCAGACCAGAGGGGGACAGCCCCTCCTTCACCCTGCTGACACCTCTCTGTTGGGTGCAGCCCAGGATGCAGTTGTGGCTCACGTCCAGCTTTTCATCCACCAGAAACTCCATGTCCTTCTTGGCAGAGCAGCTCTCAGTGAGTTATCCCAGTCTGTCATGGATCCGGGATTGCCCCGACCCCAGCGCAACACCTTGCCTTTGCCCTTGTTGAACCTCATTGGTTCCCAAGGTCCCAATTTCAAGCCTGTCGAGGACCCCCTGGACAGCATCCCTTCTTTCTGTTGTATCGGCTGCACTGCTTGTAACGTTTGGGTGCTTTGCACTTGGTGCCTTGCAGAGCAAACAGGCACTGCCCAAGGAGGCTGTGGATGCCCCATCCCTGGAGGCATTTAATGCCAGGCTGGATGTGGCTCTGGGCAGCCTGGTCTGGTGGTTGGTGACCCTGCACATAGCAGGAGGGCTGACACTAAATGGTCATTGTGGTCCTTTTTACCCCAGGCCATTCTATGATTCTATGAACCCCGCCCTGGGCCCGACGGTCGGGATATGCTCTCCAAAAGGCGGGGCGGCCCGGAACTGCCGTTCTCGAGGCGCGAGGCGCGGCGGAGCCCGGCGGGGCGGACCGGCGGGCGGGGCGGTGCTGCGCTTCCTGCTCCGCGGCGGCGGGTCGGGCCGCGGTCGGTAGGCTGTCGGCAGCGGGGCTGGGATCGGTGCTGCCCGATTCGCCATGCAGCCCTTCACAGTGAACATCAAGCTGTCGGCGCGGACGCTGACGGGCGCCCTCAGCGCGTCCAACCGGGGGGCGGCGGATTGGTGAGAGGGGCCGGGCCGGGGACGGGTGTGGGGCTACGGGGGAGGCGGTGCTTCATCCCTTCCCAGCCCCACGATGCAGAATGGTCACTGATACAGTGCTGATCCCTCCCGGCGGTACAAAACACCCGCCTCTGTGTTGATGTTAGGGGAAACGGCTGTTTAAGAGGGTGGACAGCGATAGGACAAGGGGGAATGATTTTAAACTGAGACAGGGCAGGTTTAGGTTGGATATTAGAGGGAAGTTTTTCCTCACAGAGGGTGGTAAGGCACTGGAACAGGTTGCCCAAGGAGGCTGTGGATGCCCCATCCCTGGAGGCATTCAGTGCCAGGCTGGATGTGGCTCTGGGCAGCCTGGGCTGCTGGTTGGTGACCTGCACATAGCAGGGGTTGAATCTAGATGAATCTAGTCCTTTTCAACCCAGCCCATTCTACAGTTCTATGATTCTATGATGTGAAGTGCTACTTGCTCTGTTTGTTGCCGGTTTGATGATGAGATGTGCTTTCCTAGGGGCTGGCAGGGTCTGATTGCATACGGATGCCATTCCCTCGTGCTGGTGGTGGATGCCAATACTGCCCAGACCTTGCAGGTTCTGGAAAGGCACAAAGCAAATGTTGTCAAGGTGAGGTGCACATGATTTGAGGTGTATCACTTGTCTCTGGTATACATATGGTGTACGTACCTATACAGACATGTATGTTTAATCACTTCAAATAACTGAAATTATATTGCATACATGTTTACATAATCACGTATTCAAAGCAGTTGAAATTGTTATTGTCAAACCACACATACTCAAATTGGGACTGCGGCTGGCGGTAGACTTTTAGATTTATAAAATCATATTTGACTCTTAGTAGGGAGAGGTTGTTTCTCATTTTTCGCACATAAAAGATTAACCAGTTAACCAGAGCCTGTCGTACCTTTTGGCAGCTTGTTTGGGCAAGCATCCACTTAGCCTCAGTTGTTTCTGGGCTGGCCTTGAAAATGAATAAGACATCTATTGTAGCATTGATAATTTTGGGCTCCTCACTGCAAGAAAGACATTGAGGCTGTGGAGTGTGTCCAGAGAATGGCATTGAAGCTGTGAAGGATCTGGAGGAGCGACTTGGGGAACTGGAATGGTTTTGTCTGGAGAAAAGAGGAGACTCAGGGGAGAACTTATTGCTCTCTACATCTCCCTGCAAGGATGTTGTGATGAGGTGGGAGTTGGCCTCTGCTCCCAGCTAACAGCAACAGGGTGAGAGGGGATAGCCTCAAGTTATGCCAGAGGAGGTTCAGGTTGTTTAGTAGGAGCAATTTCTCCTACTCTCCTAGAGTGATGAGGCACTGGCATGGGCTGCCTAGGGAGGTTGGAGAGACCCCATCCCTCAACAACTGTGGAGATGTGACACTGAGGGACACGGTTTGTTGGCGTGGTTAATGGTTGGACTTTATGGTCTTTTTCCAACCTTAATGATTCTACGATTCTGATAGTGTAAAAAATACAGAAAGTGCAAGCGGTATGGATATGGCAGCTTTAATGATGTCTGTGTTTTAACATTTCCACTGAGCTCAGATAAGTTATAGCAAATATTTTTTGACTCAGGAAATGATAGCATTTTAGTGTACTTCAGTTACGTTCAGATTTGAGGAGTAACTGTTTCAATAGGAAACCAGATTAAGTAGTCCAAGTAGTTTCTATGTAACTTACAAGATGCGTTTTTCACATCCACTCTTTGGTGAATTATTATCAGGAATAGACTGTAAGAAACTGACTTATTTGTGAAGAAAAAGACTGAAGAGAAATTCTTTTCCACTTTAAGTAGAGATTATTTGAGAGCTGTGATCATTGGTAGATATCTTTGTATGCGTATGAAATATTCTTCAAGTCCTGTTTCTATTTATTTTTTTAACAGTTTATAACTGCTAATAGCTTATATAGACTGGAGGAGATATATAAGAGATCAGCTATGTTTGTCTGACTGTTCAAATCTTTGTAGCAGAGGTTCACACCAGCAAACAGTTTTCTTCCTCAAATCCCCATGCTTCAGTTTTGAAACATTTCAAAACATACCACTGTTCTTAAAAAAGAAAGAAGCAGTTGTTTCATAAACTTTCTGCAGTCTGTTTAGCTACTGATCTTTTAAGTCTTCCTGTGTTACAGCTGCATCTGGAATTGGCAGCAATTGCATTGAAAAATATCCCACGTCGTTTGTCAGGGTGGTAATTCTGTGTTCGTGGGAGACTGATAAATTTGTACAGAGTGGGTTATAGCTTTTTGTTTTTTTTCCAGCTTTGCAAAGAGTGCTTGAAGGAGTGCTTTTACAAATGAAAGTGTAATTACAGGAAAGACTTTTTGATCCATCACAAAAAGAGTGGATTGAAATCTGCCTTGGTGTTTCTTTCTTCATGTTAATGAACAGGGCTGATAAGGCATCCTGGTCCTCTGACAGGGGCAGCACAGGGCCCTGGGTGCAGTTATAAATCTAACTTTTGTTGCAATTAGTGATGCCCAGATGCAACTGTATTACCTAATCACCTTTTCAATACCTGCAGAAAGAGTTGTGTTTGACCTGACCCTTTCTCCATCAGCTATGGGGACAAAATACAGCAAGATAGCTGCAAGATCAGTTTTGTAGTAGATGAATTCGATTAGCATAGTATTAAGGTTTATTTACTCCTTTTGCATCTTTGTTCTCTGTCAGCAGCAAGTAGCAAAACAATTCTGGATTGAATATTTAGGGAAGGAGTCAGTGTTATCTCCTTGTGTTATCTCAGTGTTATCTCTGCAGACTTGCAGACAGAATGTTTCGTATGTCAAGATACCTAATTTACGTGTGTATTGCCATCTTCCTGCAAGCCATTGTAGCATGCAATCCCAAACCAGGAAGTGGTGTATGAAAATCAGTAGTGGTGGCACACTCAATGGCACAGAGATAGCAGATGCAGTAATGGATGTTATCAAGTATTGCTATGCTTTTTTGGTGAGTTAATTATTGTTTGTTCATCAGTCTGAACAATATTAAGTTGGATTTCTCTGTTGTATGTGTTTTTCTCATTTGACCACTTTTCATCTCTGTCTTCAGGTTAAATGGGCTAAAGAAAATTATCATCACAATATTGGCTCTCCATATTCTTTACGTTTAGCTTCTGCTGATGCTACTGGTAAAATAATTGTGTGGGATGTGGCAACAGGAACAGCTTGCTGTGAAATACAAGAACATGCAAAACCAATACAAGGTAATGCATGATGTTTGATTGAAGGTTGCTTTACGGAGTAGCATGGACAAGTCCATATCCTCGGCTCAGTTCAGCCAGTGAATTTCAATCTGAAACATCACTCTGTATTTATGTTGTACAGAACTGTGTCAGTTGCGATGAAAAGAACCGTGCGCCATCTCAGATTGACAGTGGGGTGGTGTTAGTATTGGACCTGGAAACAGATGTTTTCTTCTCTATACTGTTAATAGTCTTAATGCACTTAACAAAAATAGAAGGGTATGACCGATAAAACCACAGAGAAGTATGCTTTCAGAAGACTTCTGTACATCTTGTTACTAACAAGTTGCCATTCACAGTGTATTACAGAAAAAGAATCGTTTTAGAACAGATTTTTTCTGAAAATTAATTTGGGTGTTTACTGGTCCTTCTTTCTTTTGACAGACATGCAGTGGTTGTGGAATCAGGATGCTTCTAGAGATTTACTGCTTGCAGTTCACCCACCTAACTATATTGTGCTGTGGAATGCAGACACGGGCACCAAACTTTGGAAGAAAAGTTATGCAGAAAATATTCTGTCTTTTTCATTTGACCCATTTGATCCATCCCACTTAGCACGTAAGTTTGTTTGTATAAAATAATAAGAAAAGACAGATGTAATTTTAGTTAATTGGAGCTAGCAAAAAACCAAAATGTCTGTATGATTGTGTCAAGAATTGTGGATACTTGTGTTATAGGATATAGTATCATCAGTTCAAATTGGAGGGGAGCTGTAAGGGAGGGGAAAAAAGGCGTGCTCTAAGTAACATAGAAAGGAAGTTGGCAGGTGTGACCAGGAAAAATGTGAGATCAAAATGTCAAAGTAGATAGAGAAATTGAGATTAAAGTAATGGAATAGATGAGATGATGTTATTAATGCTAGGAAGAAGTCTCTAAACAATGACAGGGAGTCTTTGGCCTCTATGAGATTGTCTAAAATAAATCGGAATTGGGAGAGGGGAGGGCAAAAGTGCTCACGAACAGAAAATATAGGGATCTGAAAAGAATCCTTTGTGATTTCATAAAGAAGTTGGAATGCACCTTGGAGAGGAAGCCAGGCATAGAGAACCCTGTTGAACTGATATAAAAGGCTATAAAATAATAGGATGCTGAGAGAGGATTCAGTGAGATAAGAGCAGACCTCAACTAAACAGTGTCTTCAACAGAAGTTTTTGTTAGAGGAGGAATGTGAGTATCAGTTTCAGAAACAATTCAAATGATAAGGGGGATGTAGCGTGTGCTAATTCAGGTTTTAGTGGAAAGAAACTAAGATAAATAAGAGTCACTACTTTTAGCTTATCTTGATCACTCCTGATGTGTTAAGAGATGAACTGCAGTTTCCACGATTTGTAGCTGTGATTTCCTTTTTTATATCTGTTGTACCATTCAGCATGGGAAAAGAGCTTTGCAGTATAAACATGTAGTAAAACCTTAGCTACATCTTTACAGTTTAGCTGAATCTTTATCCTGCCACACAAATAGCATGTGTTAATGGTTCTTTGAGCAATGAGAAGATCAAATGGTTATGCAGCCATTTTGGGCAACTCTACTTTCTGTTGACACTGTGAAACTTAACAAACAATAACTGATGACAGAATAACTGTACTGAACAAATATGGAGTGACAAACAAGAAATTTCTACCATTAATCCGTTGTGTTTTTTAATACTGACTTAATTCTGAAATTAATTGCTTTTTATGCATTTTCATTCATGGTAGTGGGCTATCTTTTGCTCTTTGAGTAGAAGGTGCCTGTTGTCTAGAATTATGAGTGTTCTGTGTTAATGCATTAATTAGGCTATTATCATTTATCTCCACCAAAACTTTATTGAAGTAAAATGCCAAAACAAAATTGCAGATTGCATTTTGTAATAATTGTTTTTCCCCATACAGTGCTTACCAGTGAAGGGATAGTGTTCATCTCTGACTTCTCTCCTTCCAAAGCTCCTGCCAGCTCAGGGAAGAAGGTTTACATCTCCAGTCCCCATTCCAGTCCTTCTCATAGGCTGGCTGCTACTACAGGGGCCAAGAAGGCCCTTGATAAAGTAAAAATCTTAATCAGTAATGAAAAACCAAGGTAGGTTTCTTTATGGATACGTTTTTTTAATGCCTGTGTGTTCAGTAAGTAGTATTAGATTACTGTTAGACTGAATATAATTTAATTAACTAAATCTAATTAAATATGAAAAAAATACATGTATTGTGGGGTATGTAGGCCAGTCATAATTTCTATTGTTCGTCTTCATGGCATTGAAAGTAAGATGCATCTGTGAGGAAGGTCCCTGGCTTCTTTTAATTTATGCTTATTCAGCTTTGTTTTTTTAATTGAGATTCAGTTGATGCCCTCTTTCAAAAAATGGTCCCTCATTTTAGTAACATCTTTCTTTTTAATATAATATTTTTATATAATATCTGCACTGTGTGATTTGGTTTTTTTAGTCACATCTATTTATAATATAGACAAATATCCTTTATTTGCAAAAATCACTTATTGCCATATAAAGCAAATACAGCCTTTAAGGAAAGCTGGATGTTCTCTTTTGATATCCCTGAGCTCTGAATGAAAGTTCTGACTGTCATTGATTTTATATCAGATAAGGAGAAGAGGAGTGGGAAAGTGACTGCAAACACAAGGTGGCTTATAGTCCTGGAGACAGAAGCTGATAGTGGGGATTTAGTGTATGGCAGATGTGATCAAAACGAACAAAAAACCCTTAAAAAGGGCATTAAATCAGTTAAGAACATGTCCAAACTGAACACAGTGTAAGAATAATTTTCTTCAGCATGACTTGCATACATGCAATTCATTGAATTTTATACACCTAACTTGAAGAAAGTTGCTTTCATTTTGTGGGCCACTTAAAGTTTATTTTTCATGTTTTGCAGTGCTGAATCTGTGACACTCAATGACTGCCTTCAGTTATCCTACTTGCCTTCCAAAAGGAACTACATGTTGTTACTCTATCCCAGAGAAATTCTGATTCTTGACTTGGAAGTGAATCAGACAGTGGGTGTGATTGCAATTGAAAGAACAGGTGTGCCTTTCCTACAGGTAATGAAAATTGGATTGGTTTGTAATGGATCATTGAAATGAATTATAAGTTCATGACCTACTGATTGGTGCATTTTGATTAATGCTAGGGGATGAAAAGAAAAATATTCATCAGGAGAAGTATCCTCTGTACCAACTGCTGTTTAACTTAGCGTTCTGGTGTCTGTAGCAAACCTGCTTCCTTTTGTTGCTGCAGAAGCTACCAGCATGGAAACAATGCTGTGAAGAATAGGCATTTCATTCCCTTCTGGTTAAGCTGCTCATCCAGAATTTAATACTAGTTCCTTGGGTGTTTGCCTTTGCTTAACTGGATGTCTGCATCTAGTCTGAGGTCTTATCGAAGCATCTTTATTCTCATGAACATCTTCAGTGATTTTCATGATCATCTTTAATCATGAACACCTCTGTTACCAAAACATAATGTTTTAAAACAAAGTGATAACTAGAGACTGCATACGAGTTTAAAGAAGGAATGCAACAGACAATTCAGACAGCTCACTGAAGTTCTCAAAGCCATCTGTTGGTACATGAATATGCCATAGTGTAGTTTTACTATTTGATTTAAAAATTTCTCTTTAGTAATAATGCTTTTAAGAAATCAAACTTAAAATCTTATCAGTCTTAAACACTATTGTGCTCTTGCCTGATCTTTTTTTTCTTTCTCTAACTTTTTCCTAGCACAGATTGTTGACTTTTCCTTCATTACAAGTAGCGTAGCTACAGAAATTCATTGAAATGATGGTTTAATGGTAATTTTTTGGTGACTTACATATTCATTCTGAGTTTTATGTTTAGTTAAAGAGTTTTTTGCAAAGGTAAAATTTTCTTAACCTTATATAATATGTTTTCTTCGTGTAGGTAATTCCTTGTTTTCAGCGCGATGGCTTATTTTGCCTACATGAAAATGGTTGTATAACTTTGAGAGTTCGCAGATCTAACTGCTCTGCAACTGGAATTCCAAATGAAGAGCCAGGTAATTTATGTGTCAAAAATGGCATGAAATCAACTTCAAGGCATTTTATTCAGTACTTTAGCATCAGTGTCAGCCATCATGCCTTGTGCAGAGTGGTGAATTACAACTTTCCTAGTGTTTTTTGTCTTCAGTAAATTTAGGCTGTGTTCTACCAAATTTATTTATTTTATTTATTTTTAATTTTTTAACTTTTTGGATGTTTATATGTTTTCTGATCTAATTGCTTGTTGTGGCATGTTGATGTTACAGATCCAGACCCAGTTCAGGAGCTGGTTTATGATTTAAGAAGTCAATGTGATGCAATTAGGGTAACAAAAACAGTTCGGCCATTCAGTATGGTGTGCTGCCCAGTGAATGAGAATTCTGCAGCTCTCATTGTCAGTGATGGCAGGGTAATGATCTGGGAGTTAAAATCCAGTATTGCCAGCAAAAATCTGCGTAACAGGTAATGACTTTGTTTTTCTGATCAAAGTTTCCATCTGATACATTTACAAGTGATATTTAATTATATTCTGAAAGTAATGGTGGTGTGCTTCTGTGTGTGACGTGTGCTATACTTGTGTATGAATGCAAGGATGAGGCAGACATTTGGAATAAGGAAACAAAAGATAGGAATGAATATTCGCATTATTTCAGGGGAACATTTTTTTGTAATCTGGCTTTCTGCAAACTGTATCATTTTCTTCAGGATTGGAGCCCTTAGTTTCAATCATTTGCAATTTGTCAGTTTGACACAAAGCAGTGTGAATGCACAGTAGGTGGCTTGAATATGCCTGTGTGAACTGTTAATGGTTTTACATATGAAGCCTTTACAATTTCAGGTTTTAAGCAGCCTCTCATACATATCAAGGTTATTCTGTTGCACTAAGCCTTTAATATATTATTGGATAAAATAGATAACTTGTTATTTAAAAAAATACTTAATATACTTTTAAATGCCAGAAATACTTCTCTTAACATTTTAAACATAAAACATTTTCTTTTGTTGCACATCAGTGTTGCAACATTTTTATCTTCTCATTCCCAAAAATATTATTAGATGGATTCACTGTGGTGTATAACCAGTATAGCTGTATAGGATCTATGCGTTGCTGGGATGTATTTGTTGGATTGCTGGGCTCATTTCTAAAGCATTGATTTTTGTTGTGGCTATATAATCCAGCAGAATGTTATATTACAAGCAGCTTTGAGCCTGGAGGAATCTGGCTCAGTGATTGCAATGAACAGTAGTGCATATTTCTAGTTGGTGCAGAGTCTTTAATGGCTACTTAAGGAGTATTCCTCCATTAGCTCATGGTTTTGTTGCAGCTTTGAATATACAAAGGCAGTTGCCTTTCTTTTGTTTACATGAAAGGCATTGCTTCAGCTACAGGTTTTTTTATCTGGAATTGATGTAAGAAGGTTTGGGAATCTGGTTTTTAATATCAAACGTGCTTAGCAATGTTTCTTAGCTGTATTTCTTAGCATAACTCTAATACATTGAAAAGCCTCCACTGAGTGATGAGGTGCACTTCAGAGCAAAGGATACATGAATTTGAGATGTGTGTATTTCTGTTTGCATCATCTGCTGGTAAGAGTTGGGTATAGTCTTGTCAACATACTCTGCAAGCAGTAAGTGAGAGAGCAGCCTGTGGAGAAAGCAAAACTAAGAACCTGAGTCAATAAGTGGTCAGTTTGCATCAGGAGTTTGTTTTCATTTCTTTCGCAGCAGTTCAAGTGCATCACCTTTGTATTCCCCAGTCTCATTCTGTGGAATTCCTGTAGGAGCATTCCAAAATAAACTTCCTGACCTGTCATTAGACAACATGATAGGTAAGAGTATTTTCTACTAATATTACTGATTTCTAGGATTTTTGAATCATTGTACATTTTGGTTTAAGATTGCATATGTTAGAATTATTTTGTGTGTAAATTAAGTACTAATTCTAAAAGAAAAGAAATATAATACCCATCTGTTAGAAAATATTAATCATTTTGAGGTTATTCTGTTGAAGACCAACATTCAAAGTTCACTTACTCTAAGAAAAAAATGGAATTTAAAATGGAATTTACCCCAAACCCCTTTTGTTTTTAGATGTAATCTTAACTGTATGAAGACAGTGTTGTTTGATAAAATCCATCTTTGTGAAATCTAGATGGCAACATCAGTACTGAGAAGTGTTCCACAAAGAACTTCCATAAAATGGTTACCTTCGTGTTTTTAAAACTAATTTATTAGTGGAAAAGTGGTGCTCCTCAAGGTGCACATTTGGATTTGCTTTCGGAAAGAGGATATTTAGAGCATGATTCTTCTCTGATCTGAATTTTCTTTAGTTGTTGGTCTCATAGCTGTTGTTAATTTGTACTTGATGACACTTGGACTTGCATAGTTGATTGCAGCAGGTGGGCAGCAGATGGGTTTTTGTACCCATCTTCAGAGGGCCCAGCTGTTCTGATTGTAATATTGGTGAAATGAGGTACATTGCTCCAAAAAGTTTTATCATACCAAGTTCAACAAGAAGAAATGCCTCTTCAGAGAAGTTTTGGTAGTTTGTAAAATTACTTGTAGTTTTTCTTTTATAAACTCCTGTGATACTTTCTGTAATCCCAGATTAAAATTGAATACTGACAAGATCTTTAATTTTTAGCAGGGCAGGGTACAGTTGCTGGAGAAGAGCAATTGAAAAGTTCTTTTCTGCAAGAAGTTCATCTCAAATTCCTGCTGACTGGACTTCTTTCAGGCCTTCCTTTGCCTCCATTTGCTATCCGCATGTGCCCACCTCTTACAACAAAAAACATTAAGCAGTATGAGCCACTCCTTGCTGTTGGTAAGTATCTTGACTGGTTTATTGATTACTCTGCAAATTATGCATTCTGGATTAAATACAAATACAGTCATGTGTTACCAGAAGGTCATTTCACGGGTGAGAAAGTGGACTTATTTTAGCGATTTGGTAAAATCTGTGCAGGGATTGTCCCCTAGGATTATTGGTGATTAAGATTTAATACTCTTCCTAAAGACATTTACTCATCTTTGAGTCATCAAAACAAACAAACAAAAAAACCTTCCTGTTTTCCTGCATCTGGATGCCTTGTGATAATACAAGAAGAATCAACAGGCTTTCCGTAGGCTCTACAGGTAGGTTCAGGAAAATGAAACTGATTCATTTATTCAAACTGATTTTGCTGGCTGCAGAATCTTGGAGGGTATGAAATCTGAGGTTTGAGAGCTAGAAATCAAAATACCTTTTCTAAAATTGGTAAAGTACTGTAGTTAAAAGTGGCAGAAAGGAGAAATAGCTGTAAATCCTGCATTTTCACTAAAATATGGAATAGAAAAATAAAACAAGTCTGAATATTCTATGATTTATTTTATTAAATCACTTTTTATAGGTACAAGTAATGGCTCTGTCCTGGTGTTTCACCTTACAAGTGGACTATTACACAAAGAGTTGAGCATCCATTCCTGCGAAGTCAAGTAAGAGTTTAATTCACAGAATCACACAGAATCACAGAATCACCCGGGTTGGAAGGGACCCCAAGGATCACGTAGTTCCAACCCCCCTGCCTAGCAGGGCCACCAAACATACACATTCAGATCAGGTTGCCCAGGACCCCGTCCAACCTGGCCTTAAACACGTCCAAGGACGGGGCATCCACAACCTCCCTGGGCAGCCCGTTCCAGGGCCTAACCACTCTCCTAGTAAAGAACTTCCCCCTAACATCCAACCTAAATCTTCCCTCCTTCAACTTAAAACCATTTCCCCTAGTCCTGCTGTTATCAGCCCTTTTGAAGAGTTTACTCCCCTCCTGGGTGTAGGTTCCCTTCAGGTATTGATAGGCTGCAATGAGGTCACCCCGCAGCCTATTCCTAGCATAATCCTTCAGGCAGCCAAAAATTAAAACATATAATGCATTCAAAGCAAAGTGTGGTGTCTCATTTCATTATTAATGACACCCAAGTAATTGCCTGTTGAGCAGTCTGACTGGATGGTATCTTCATGTAAGCAGTAACAGTGTTGAGATTAGAGTGAAAAATCCATTGAACTATAAATATTTGAATTTCTTCTGTTCCTTCTGATCTAGTGTGTGTGTGTCAGCTACTTTCCATTTCTTTAGCACATTCTGGTACAAAGAAATCTTTTTAGCACAAGCACTATTTCAGTGTCTTATTTATAGTCCTGACTAGCACACTGTGTACTTTGAAATAATTCTGTTTTGTACATCAGAATTTATTTCCTTTGCTCACTTGTGAAATTGCTGTTAACATAGTTCTAGACCTAACTGAAGTCCAAACAATTTTATCTTTAAAAATCACACGAAGACTTTGAAGACTACATACAGGACTCAGGATTTAGCTATCCTAAGGAACAGAGTCAGTTTGAAACCTGTTGCACGTGGTGTTTGTGTGTACACAATGGAATAACTATTCATGTAACTAATGGCAAAAATATTCATGATGGTGCTGACCAGATGTGTATTTTCAGACAGGATTAACCAAGGGAAATAAAAATATTTTAGTAGCAATATTAATTAAGTTTATGTCAGAGGTGTGGCTTGAAGCCTTCTTGAGACTAAGGTCTTCATTTTACTGTTCATTCTACAAAAAGAGAAGAGGAACAGAGCTGTCTGAGAATAACTTCATCTGAGAGAGCTCATTATGTAAAACTGCTTTGAATCTACCACAAAAATCACATAAGCAAATTTGCATTTGTGGTGTGATTAGCAGACACTTCAAAAATAGAATTCCTCTTTCTGTTTTAATCCATTTGAGTTGGGTTTTTTTTTGTTTGTTTAATGCCATGAAGAATACTTAGAATATAAATCTAATTTTATATTCTGTTATGCAGCCTGGAGAGATGCTGATTTTTTTTCAGAATAGTTTCTAGAATTCAAAATTAAAACCACTACTAATGCTTCACAAATTAATAAAAAATAAGAATAAAAATTGGAGAGGCAGCTTTGAGAACATATTTCTTTTTCTTCCAGTTCGTGTCAGTGTCAGGAGTGACTGGGAGTGCTGTTAGGAGGTGCTTTTCATGTTGCAAAATTTCTGCGATGTTTAACAAGTGTTCAGAATGCATTGCCTTCCTTAGCAGTTGTCCTCACCCAGGTGGTATTTTTAGAACACAAAGTGATTGTGAATTTTGTTCAAAGCTCAGTCATTAAATCCTTTAAATATTTATTTCAGTTTCTCAATCCAGCCCTTAATGGCAAGAGTGACTTTCTACTTAATCTTCAGAAGTTCCCGGGAGCGCTTTAAGCCATACAGAAAAAGGCACTGTGGTTATGTTAAATTAATATTCCTGGAGCATAACAGTTTTTCTTTCAGTGGGAATTCTTACTTTACTTCTGAAATGCAGATAATTTGCATAATGCCTCTGTGTCAGTTTTAACTGAAAACACACCTTCAGGGAGCACCATTTTAGTGTGTAGTTAATAATGCCCTGTAATTATAACTCAGTGCCTTGTAGTGCACACAGAAAATGTAATGGAACTAAGGGTCTTTATATTGGCAGCCATCCTTTACATGTCAGTTGTGCTAAAATAATAGCCAGTAAGTTTTCTAGATACTAGCAATTATTGCACCTTTTGGAGATTAGTGCTCTTTTCTTCCAAGCTAGATTATTTGGTCACACGTGGGTTATTTTTTTTGAATGTATTTATTTCAGTTCATGGCTGTTACTTTACCATTTCACTGGGACTGTGTGGATTATTAGTTTTCCTTTGAGTTTAATTTGCTTTCTATTAGGAGTACAAGGCAGGAGGAAACAGAAATGCTTCAGAGTCCACAGAGATGAAAACTCAATCAGGCTAAGCTCGGAGCATTAGTGGGCAAAAAACAGCAGAGATCATAGCATGTGTGGAAAAAGAAGCTGTGAGCAGGAGGTCGATCTTCCATTAAGACACAGAGAAATGTAATATTTTTTACTGATAAATGGAATGTGAAGACAAATGCAATAACTAATTCTTACAACTTTTTTTTTTCTAAGTTGAGCAATCTAAATTATTCTTGTACATTAATGAGGTAGAATCACAGAATCATTTGAATTGGAAGTGACCCTTCAAGGCAGTCTGGTCCAACTCCGCAGCAATGGAAGGGAACTCCTACAGCTCCATGAGGTGCTCAGAGCCCTGTCCAGCCTGACCTTGTGTGACTTCAGGGATGAGGCATCTCTGGATAACCTGTTCCAGTGCCTCACCACCCTTATTGTAAAAAAACTTTATCCTTATATCCAAACTAAGGTTAGATAGGTGAAGATAGTACATTTTCAGTGCAGAGGAAAATACATTCAATGTGTACATAAAAATGCCCCACTGGCTATAAATAGGATGGCCTGCAGGCAAAACTCAAGGGTTGCTGAGTTACATTCAAGTTTTGACAGTTGAGTTTACACTCATTCTCCTTTGGGAGACTGTTCTGCAAACATTCATCACCTTCTAGAAAAAAAAAAATCCTGCCCAGGGTAAGATAAATAAAATGTTTTCCACTTCTGCCATACAGGTGTTGGTGTGCTAGACTTCTTTCTGTGTGTTTTGTATTGTCTGATGAGTGTTAAGTGGCATAGCAATGAAATCTGCCAATCCAGAGCTGAATTCCAAAGTCGTCATTATGTGAGGTTGTGAAAAGCAAAGAGTATAAATGGGTTCAAGTGGACTGTAAAAAGTTTGTACATCTCCTAGTTTTGTTTCCATTCTTACCTCTTTCTTTCTTTTTTATAGTTAATTGAACTAACAGCTGCCTTGTTGTAAGATCACAGTAATTCTTTCCAAGCTAGAAATGTCCTTTGTTTCTTTATCCATTTTAGTCTACTCTGTAATTTGTCTGCAATGAAACCATTCATCAGAACAACTGAGTTTTACACCCAAAGTAACTGAAATGAGTTGCATGTCTAGAATCTCTGAATTTTACATTTTGAAAGAGTAGGTGCTATTTGAGAAACAGATTGCAGCTGAACGTAACCTGTAGTTCTAGGAAATAAAGCGGTCTCTTATGGAGAAATCTTGCAAATGGAATTACTGCAATAGGGAAGGCATCAGTTGTTTCCTTCATTAAAAGGTAAACCACTGTCTTCCTTAATTTGGTGAATAAGTAGTTCCTTCAAATTTCTCAATTTACATGTAGGACAGTAACAAAATTTGTATTGTTTCAGGTGCAAGCTGTTAGCTAGGCTGAGGTTTGTGTTTGATGATGGGTGCCCTCGGATTCTGTTATCTTCATTGGCACTGATACATGGCCAGCTGGCAGCAAACAAAAGGACTTGTGGTGTTATATCTGTGCAGATGAGTGAGGGGAAGAAAATGCCTCAGGTCTTTGAGTGAGAATGATGAATAACTGTTGTCAATAACAATGCATTATGAGCATTCTGTGCTTTTTCCAAAAAAGCACAGTGGAATAAAAGATAATAGATTGCCAAGGTGTCAGAATTAATGTTTCTTCCACTGCAGAATATCCCGTATTCAGGACTGTTTGGAGGCTTGAAATGAGAGACATTGCAATCATAGATTTCTGTTCAGTCTTGTAGTGTTTTGCTTAATAATTGTGTATTTCTAATGATGATTGAAGTTTCTGGTTAAACTTTTGCTAGTCTTGGTGGGAAAAAGATTGGATTCTGAATTTTTAAGCTTTTCTTGAGGACTTGGAAGTAATGCTTCCTTTTTTCTTTTTTTGTTGTTGTTGTTGTAGTAGTTTGAATTAGGAAGAAAAGAAAGATAAATATGGCTATAGTTTATGTATATAGTTTATGTATAAAATGTTATGGGAATGATTTTTTGCTTTTCCTGCTCTAAATTGTGTTTAGGAAACTTCTACTCAATGCAATCTAAATTGGATTTATTGATAATAAATGATAAATATGTGTTACATATTTCACACGTATTCCCTACAACAGACCTGGATGTTAGAAATGATGCAACGGAAGTAATCAGTGTTTGAAGGATTTGAGGAAAACTTAAACCCTTTAATTCCTGTTGAAATTAATTTAGGGACAGGTATTTTAGGACAGTCTCAGTTTTCTTTCAGATTAGTACTTGATTTAATTCACAAATAGAGCACTCAGATATTCCTACTGGCAGTGTGTGTAGACAGTGGGGAAGGATGGGACCGGACCCAAAGGTGCTTACATTGTTACACACATTGTAACTTTACAACTTGAAGGCATTTTGGTTTGTGGCTGCCTTTGCATGATCTAAAGGAGCAGAAAAAATAATACAGACTGTTAGTTTGTTTCTGGTAGCTTGTGAAATGTGTTCAGGGCCTCCCTTGTTTTATCACTTCTGTTTCTCTAGACAGCAAGATACCTGTCTTCTCACCCTGCTGTCCGCGAATATTTCTCCCTTCTTCTGTGCTTAAAAATCTGAGTTACTTAATGGGCAACCTGTTACAGTGGGAAGAACCAGCGAGGTTGTGGATGCCCCATCCCTGGAGGCATTCGAGGCCAGGCTGGATGTGGCTCTGGGCAGCCTGGTCTCGTGGTTGGCAAATGTGCGCATAGCAGGGGGTTGGAACTAGATGGTCATTGTGGTCCTTTTCAACCCAGGCCACTCAATGGTCTGTGATTTGGTAATCTACTCCAGTGCTGAGTACGTGAAGGATTTTTCCACAAAAATTATCTGTGCTCCTGACTGAAATTTTTGTTTAACCCAACAAGAACCTTATTACCAACATTGTCCTAAAGAAAGGCATTGGTTTTAACTTAAACTAGTAATCTTTATTTGTGTATTTATATCATAGTTGTAAATGCTTGACTTCTTTCTATGCTCAAATACAGTATTTCCATAAAATGTAGAAAATTACCTCTGTGGTATTTTCAAACTTGAAGAATTTGAGAATAAATAGTGTCTTTTCTATCCATTCGAGTATCGCAGTTAATATGCTCTGTATTGTTTCTTTTGGTCATAGGGGAATAGAATGGATCAGCTTGTCTGGTTTTATTTCCTTTGCCACATCAACACCTAACAACTTAGGGCTGGTAAGAAACGAGCTGCAGCTGGTGGACCTGCCAACAGGTTGGTGTTTCCTGAGACATCTGTAGAAGAGGCTGTCAGATTTGCTGAAGAGTCACAAATAAAAATTGTTAATACTTTATTTTGTCATGACAACAGAAGGGAAAAAAAAATAAAGAGGAATGTAATTGATTCTGTTCTTCCTTGTGAAAGCCACGTGGTGTGTTCCAACTGGTGCTCTAAGCCAGATTTGAAACAATACCTTTGTAGAGATTCCTGTGGCTCAGACATGCATGTGTGTCAGCAGTATCTTAGGAGCATTCAGACAACATTTCTATTAGTGGTATAGCGTGTTGACAAAAGGCATGTATTTCCAAATGTGTTTTTTTAGAGCCTGAGCCCATTGTTACAGGTTGTTCTTCTGAGTTCAGTAGTCTGTTGTTTTTTGTCTTTGTATTTCTGCATGGTATAACGCTGGAGTTTACAGATAAAAATACATAAGTGTGTATGAATGTAAAATCGGTATTGTAGTAATTATATATGTATAACCCTAACCCTATATATGTAGTAATTAAATAATAAAACAGGATTATTCTATAAAGGATTGGAAGGGTTAAAAATAAGTATCTTTTTAAAAGATATAGTTGTTAGCAAGCCTAATGTGTTTTTCAAACCATTCCAAGAATACCAAGAACATTTCTGGTTATTATTTGCAGAATACCAGGAGGTAAAATCTGAAATGTTAGAGAGCACTTTAATAATAATTTTAAATTATTTTTGAGTGGGAAACCCTAGAGCCATTTAATTTCTAATTGAAGAGCCTGAATCTTGCAGCGCATGGCTAATTCTCAATTGCTTTATGTAGCATAAAGTGATTTTTTTTTTTTTAAACTTATGTAAAAGACTCAATTTCTGCATTTCCATAGCTGCTAAAAGAAGCTGTCCTTCTAACTGGCAATATTGTGTATTTTTTTCTCAATAATGTCTTTTGTTTGTTTGTTTAAATCAAAACAGAAGAGGTACATCAGTTTCAGTTGTGCTCCAGAAGCAAGTCAGGGATTGTGATACACAGTAGTGTTTACATTCAGATTTTGAGATACAGTATAACAATGACTGGAGTAATGTCAGTTATGCAGGTCACTTGGGGATGTTCTAGGTAAGTGTGGTTAAGTGTTTTTCCTTCCAATCCACCATGGAAATTTTTATGTTCATATCATGATTGTGTTCCAGGCAGGAGCATTCCATTTCGTGGGGAGAGAGGCAATGATGAGCCAGCTATTGAAATGATAAAGGTGTCTCATTTGAAGTAAGTAATTATGACCTTTCTGAAGTTAATAAATTTTACTGTATTGTGTGAAGGTCCTCATTGCTCAATAGAAATAACAAGAATATCAGGAAAAAAAGAAAACCCACTAGTCCAGAAAGGATAAGTGAATATGTAACAGCATTAATGAAAGCATAATGTAAAGTATTAGAGGAAATGTTGGAAATGTTTTTGTGGTAGACTTTCTCACACGCTTCGGAATCCAATCACAAAAGATTGCTTTGCTTTCCTGGGTAAATGGAATTAAAATAGTGTTGAATTTAAGAGTTTTTTCTTTAAAATTGAGGGAAAAAAAGTAATCTTCTCTGGCTTGCATAGTAATATTTTGGAAAATGTTTATGTGGTCAAGTGTTCAGCCATATAATGGTCTTGCTGATATATTAATACTTAAGAACAGCACTGGCTTAAATGAAGAGACTACAAAAAGTTGAGTGAGAACAAGAAAGTGTAGTTTGTTTGAATAGAGGTTAATGAAGTTGAGAGGAGTACATAAAGCTATAGAACCTGTCTGTATTTTCATGCAACATGTGAAAAGTGGAAGATTGAAGGTGTTTTCCTAAATTAGCTGCACAGATGAAAGATCTGAAGACATGACTGACGAGTGGTTTAGTGTAAGAGGATTTTATGGTCATTTATCACTGGATTAGGAAGGTGCCATGTGTCTGGAGCAGAAAATAAATCTATCCAGACTGCAGACTTGGTGCATCTTTCTGATAGATTGTGCAGTCATTGACTTGGGATGAATGTGGCTAAATTAGAGGGGCTGCTGCTTTCTCTGGATTCATTCCTTTGTCTCCTGTACGGTAACTGAACAGTGCCACCAACCTGACAGAAATGTCTGATTATTTTAGCCTTGAAGGAGACCTTCATTTCAAACTGAGTCTTAAGCAGCTGAGTAAGGCAAGGAAATCACAAGCTTTGGATTCGGATCTGAGCCACATTAATTTACTCTTCTCTGTCTTAGTTTTTGAGTTTTGGTTGTGGGGTGGTTTATTTTTCTTTTCAAATCAGCACTTTCTGGAATATGGATGTGGAAAATGTATGAAGTAAAATGCTAAATTTAAAGTGAAAAGATTTCTTTTGATATAGTAAATTGTTGTGTGTTTCAGGCAGTATCTAGCTGTGGTATTTAAAGACAAGCCACTGGAAATATGGGATGTCAGAACTTGCACTCTGCTCAGAGAAATGTCTAAAAACTTTCCTGCAGTGACTGCTCTGGTGAGGAATAGAATCTTCCTTACTATTTGTTAAATGTAATTTGTTGACAAAGTATGAAAACCTATGAACATTTCTGCATCAGAATATTATTTTATCTGTAGTAGATATGTAAGTGCTTTCTCTTTTTTTTTTTTTTTTTTTTTTTCCCCCCCCATCTGTTACCAAATAGAGGAAGGAAAAGGAGATACTGCTAGATACTTGTCTGTCTTTTGGATGATGAAGGAATGTGTCAGAGAAGGCAATCTTCATTGAAACCATTATAATTAGCAGACAGGTTCCTCTGTGAGTTCTGGAAGCAAACATTAAAAAAGCTTTTTTACAGTAGGGGATAGTGAAGCACTGGAACAGGCTGCCCAGGGAGGTGGTGGATGGCCCATCCCTGGAGATGTCCAAGGTTGGGCTGGATGGGGTTGTGAGCAGCCTGGTCTAGTTGGAGATGTTGCATTTATTGCAGTGGAGTTGGACTAGTGATCCTTGAAGGTCCCTTCCAACTCAAATAGTTCTGTAGTTCTGTGATTAATATTTTTCATTTTTCTTCAACAAATTTTTGCAGGAGTGGTCACCTTCTCATAACCTGAAAAGCCTGAGGAAGAAGCAGCTTGCAGCCCGCGAGGCCATGGCCCGGCAGACAGTTGCATCAGATACTGAAGTGAGCAGCGTCGAATCTTCTGTTATCAGGTATTTCTGACTCAGATTTAGTGCTGTGATTTATCAGTTGTTCATTTCCCCATATGCTGTTGTTCTAAAAAAACAGCATATTTTCAAGCTGATTGTTGAGTACATACCAGGCAAAAACAACTTTCTGTGCCACTCTTGAACTTTCAGGCACTGATCTCTGATTTACTGCAGAACGAGGAAAACTGTACCAAGTGTAACTAGTGTCTGTTGCAGACCATTAAAGTTGTTCTTTTGCCCCCTGAACTTTTCCAGGAGTGTATAAATGAGTTAAGTGTTGCAATTCTGCTTTCAAGAAACAAACACTTCTGCCTCATTGTGTTCTTTTTCAAGCTTGTTACAGGAAGCCGAAAGTAAATCTGAGCTGAGCCAGAACATTTCTGCCAGGGAGCACTTTGTATTTACAGATGCTGATGGGCAGGTCTATCATCTCACAGTAGAAGGAAACTCAGTGAAAGATAGTGCAAGAATTCCTCCTGATGTAAGTTTCAATCTCTTGTGTAACGTTTAGATATGATCCCAAAACTGTGGAAAAGTTTATGAATATGGTACAGATCCATTACTTCTGATCTACATAAAGCGAAGCTGAGAGCTATCAAGTTGGAGAAACGTCATTTCCTTTTATTCCTTCTTTTAATTCCCACAGATAAGAATTGTTTCATTTTTGTTCTTTGTTTTAGCTAGTATTGTGTTTAATAATTGACTGTCACATTGGCATTTCGTTGTGACAAGAGATAGAGAGCTGATTTCTGTTGCTTTAAATCCAAAATTTCCCATGGGGGTCACTGACATTGAATAGAATTCTTTCCAGTTTTTAACTGAGAAGCATTTGTAATTTCATACAATTTTTTTAAAATTAAATATTAAAGCTTCCATGTTTATTCCTATTTGGCTCTACTTACCATAAGATTTTGTCCTGCTTCTGAAATATTTCCAGGGAAGTATGGGTAGCATTACATGTATTGCCTGGAAAGGGGATACCCTGGTTCTTGGAGATGTTGATGGAAACTTAAACTTCTGGGATTTGAAAGCCAGAGTATCCAGGTATGAATGCAAATGGTGTCTGGTAAGCTTGTGATAATGAGTGTTAGAATAGAATGGTTTTAGTCCCTCATGTTTGATCTTCGCTGCAGGAGGTGTTTGAGGGGAAAAACAGAAGTATTTTGAAATACAATTTCAGAAAATGCAGAACAATTCTCTACATCTTATTTTTTGTGTTTTCAGGTGAATTAACATTTTATCAAATATTTCAGTTTAGCAAGATATCATTCTCATGTTAAATCTGCAATGGCTTCTCAAAATTTTGAGCAATATTAAATGCCTGAAACAAGCAACTACCTTTTTACTTTCACAATATCTTGGATAGCCAGATGTACCTATTCTGTTGGTAGGGATTGTTGTTCTTCTCAGTTCTTTCTCTGTACCATATCATGATGTGTAGTATTCACAGAAGGGATGTAACTGCCCTCAATGTTAGCTATAGCATGATTGATAATAATTCTTGTGCTATGCTGTTCTTAGGGGGATTCCTACACACCGAAGCTGGGTGAAAAAGATACGTTTTGCCCCAGGGAAAGGAAATCAAAAACTTATTGCTATGTACAATGATGGAGCAGAAGTTTGGGATTCAAAAGAGGTAAACATTGGTTGTGTTTTGTTACATGTTTCTTTGCAAAATACACATATTGCTTCTGAATATCAGGAAAAGTCAAAGATGAAGTTTTACCTATTCATGATGTCTTGCTGACAGTTTTACATTGCAGGAGGGAACATAAATACCAGTTGGTATTACAGGAGGGTTGCAAATTTCTGACATAAAAGCGTAGTTCAGTTGTTAAAACATATCCCAGGTTGTTTTTTATTTTTTTGTGAATAGCTAATCATCACATTCCCATAATACTGTGTTAATAGTATGTTTAAGTATATTTATAGGCAAGTTCAGTATTTATCGAGGAAGTTCGTGAAAGAATGAGTTAATCTGACATAAAGGCATCAAAGCAGAAGCAAAGGATGGGAGTTGACAAAGGATTTCCCCAATTTGCCATGGAAATTTTATTATGAGAAAGATAACAAAAAGAGAGTTATACAGTTGTGTTCAAAAAGAATTTTTTCGTAGTTATTGATTGGGGAAAAAACATGGGTTTAGGGCAACTGAGTGCCTTGCTTAAAGGTTTGAGCATTGCCAGCTCTCCCGAGATTGAAATGATTTACAACTAACTTCACATTTTATTGCAATCTCGTGGCATGCCTCAGAGCATGTGACAGAGTCTCATACTGTATGATGGAGATTCTACTAAAAGTGAAAAATACCTCAACTTTTCAAGGTACAGATGGTGAGCAGTTTAAGAAGCGGAAGAAACGTGAATTACCGAATCCTGGATGTAGACTGGTGCACTTCAGACAAAGTGATCCTGGCATCAGATGATGGGTGCATTAGAGTTCTGGAGATGTCCATGAAACCATCATGTTTTAGAATGGATGAACAAGACTTATTAGGTATGTTGATTTCTATTACGCTATTCACTGCTAGATATTTCATTTTGAAGGAGAATGCTAAAAATGTTCAACAACTTTAGTAGAAAATAAAATTGTCATATGTGAATGATTAGGTATCCTGCACTGTTTTTCACAGTTGCAACTAAAATGAATCAAACTGCAGATAAATGGTAAACACAGAAAATTCTGAGATAGAGAATACTGTTTTTAAATTAGGAATCAGTTGAGTGCAGTGAGTTGCTATCCAAAATGAGTAATGCTTTGTGTAGATTGTTGCTGTACTTGATAAATATTTTTATTTGAATCTGTGTCAATTTTCATCTAAAAAAGCAAATTGAATTTGGTAAATAATCAGTTCAATCACGCATTTTGTTTGTAAAGGTACATAAGGAATCTACCTTCTAGATTCCTCCATGTGCACGATTCTGTTATTGATCTGGGAAACTCCTAATGAAAATTAAAACTAAGTCCTTGTTGTGATTCAGTACATTACCATTCCTTTCTGGTATGCTGCTTACAGCCCAATGACTAAGGAACCTTGCTGGACTGACAGTTCTGTCAGCTGACATCCTTTGCTTTTCTTATGACAGACCACACTGGCAGTTGTAACACAGAGCTGTATTTGTGCTTTGAGTACATTTGCACAGAATCTTCACGTGAATAATACATACTACTTTCTTTTGCTTCACATTAAGTTTCTTCACCTGGAGGCTTAAAAGTATCAATGTTGTTTTGTAAGCTGGCAATCATTTAGGTTACTTTGATTAAAATAAACTCTTTGTATTTTATAGCTATCAAACAAGCAATTTGGTCTAACGGCCCGTTGTTTCTCGGACATCAAAAATCAATTCTCTTTAATCTTGCTGTAGCTGGGTACTTAGCCTTCTTTTCTTACTACTAGAAAAACAAAATCCGCAGGAGTTCATATATTGCAAGACTTAAAACAGACGGCCTGCTGGCATGTGCTTAATGCAGGTAGATGTTCTTCTATATCATATATCAAAAAATGCTTTCTAATTGGGAAAAAAAAAAAAAAAAAACTCTTCTGGATTTTGAAATATGATTTAACAGAGAAGGTTGACTCCCAGTGTAAAGTATGGCTTGTAAAGTACAGTTGAATGGTAAGTTTTGGTCACTTATCACAGGAGAATGATGTGCGTTTGACCTCCTGAGGACTTTTTTCAAGGTGAGGCCAGTCTGTTCTGCAGGGTATCACAAAGCTGTACTTGCACAGAAGTATCCTCAAAGGAAAAGGAGATTGAATCACAAGAGTCAGATTCACCAAGAAACATTACTAATAGTAAACTGATGAACATAAAACTATTAATGGATAAATAAATCTTTGATACTGTTACCGGAGTCCCACTCTTTCCAAGGCAGCTATGCAGAAAGATTATATTTTCTGATGCTCACAGTGCCCTATAAAAAGAAAAGAGTGAGCATGGTCTGTGTCTGTGATCTTGAGCCCAGAACAAAAGGCTGGGGGTTATGAGGAGGCTTTTCATAATGTCTTGGATGCCTTAAGAAGCTCTCTCTCTCTCTCTCTCTTTAGAGAAAGACAGGATTGATTGCGAGGGCTTTCATTAACCACCTTCACCTTCTCTATTTTTACTGTTTCGCTTGTAGCCCAGGCCCATCTGCACAGGTTCCTTAGAGCTTTCAAATCAGGAAATAATTAAAATGCCTCATTATTGAACTTCTAAGGAATATGGGGAGTTCTTTCCTTTTTTTCTGCTGTTATAAATAACTGCTTTTGTTGTGATTTTTCTTTTTGTCAGTCCTGCCTTGACTCATTAATCTCCTTAAGTCAATAGATTCTGATTATGATGCTCATAAAAAAAATAACGATGTGGGAAATTATGGTGTGGAGTGTTTGGGGAAAAACATCATTTATCACAACCATTTTTTTAAATCAAATGAATGTTCTGCAGTGTTGAACTATAAAAATTAATGTTCAAAACCAAGCACATCAACATTAGAATATGCCAGGACTAAGGTTGCCTTCCTCTATGCTGTTACAATCATTTAATTATAAAAATACATTTACAGGACTCCTACACCATTCAGTACATGCAGAGCACTGGAATTTCTGAATATTTATTTGATAATGTAACTGGTTGATACCTGTTTTACCCATAAGTCACTGGGTATCAGGTACTGCATACCATCCAACCCTTATCCTGAATACAGAGTCTCTGAGCTCTATATTTGTATAACACAGGTAGTGCTATAATTTTCATCTTTTTTCTTTGCAAATATAAGCAGGTATTTAACTTCACAGCATCCCTTTGGGGTAATGAGTATTAACCTATGTGGTATGTTGCAGAAGCTCTGATTGCAATTTGAAAGTAAAATGCACATTACAGTGCATTTGGTGTAGCTGTGCTTACTTTCAAGCATGCCCTTGTGGCAGCAGTAAGTATTATATATGGCTCTGCTCGATGTTAGTGTGTCGTGTTCCAGAAGTCTGTAACTAAATTCGATATGGGATGTCCTGAAATTCTCATTTGAGCATGGTTGATAACCCTGTGCCTTCTACAAAATGCTGTTGCTTAAGTGTTACAATAAGCTTTTATCTCCAGTAACACGTGCTGTGTGTAAATATATGACTGTATGACTTACAATTCTCTTCTGGTGCTTACAAACAAGGTGGTACATTTAATGGTTTACCTAACAGAGTGTTATTGCACTTTGCCATTCAACAGTGAATCTTTTCTGTTTGTTTCAGAACCTGCATGGTGTCCCTATCTACTTGTTCCAAGGGCTTCTTTAGCTTTAAAAGCATTCTTGTTGCATCAGCCGTGGAATGAAAAATATTCTCTGGATGTTATGAACATGTAAGGAAGGGTCTTTTTGAATTCTACCTGTATATCTCTTATCAATATTCTTGTGTGAATAACTCTTAGCAAGCCTTCCTCAGTCTTTGGGACTGTCAGAAAGATAATAGTGTCACTTGGAAAGTAATAAATAGGAAAGGCTTAAGGTCAAATATTGTGTTTCCTTGAATTTCATTAGCCCTTAGCTACTTAAAAAGGATTTCTGCTTTAAGGTACTGCCAATGATTTGTTATTTACAGGTTATATTACTTTAGAAATCATCAGCGTGTTCTGTTTTTACAAGAAGTTAACTTAAGAACAATCAGAGTTGGTCCCTAAAGTGTAAGTGAAGATGTCCTAAGTGATGTCTGAAAGATGTATAGTTACTTTTAGTGAGCTATATTTCACACCATAGGGGGAGCACCTTTCTTTATCCTTTATTGCATTTGTTTACTGTTGGTGATCACTGACCCATAAAACAAAATTGTAAATGCAATATAAGTACGTGCTCAAAAGATACTGCAGTACACAACCAGGAGTATATAAGAATTGTGCTCAAAGGTAATAAACACATAAGCTTATATTATTCTCTGACTTGATATGAATAAATATGGAGCATATACAGCGAAGAACTTCTTGACAATAAAGGAGCAGTAGGTCATGGGATAAAAAAATAAAAGAAAGGGGAATCAAATTCTTACAAAATTTTCATTAAAGGATACATGGAGATTCATAATTCAGATGTTGCAATGAGGATGAGATTACTACTAGAGGGACATAGCAGTTGTAGATGCTTAGGGAACATGTATTTTGTAGAATGAGTAAAGCACAGGGGTAAGGATTGAAGATAAGACTGCAAACAGGGAAGAAAAAACAGGAACAAAAGGTTTAATGTGTAAGAAAGAGTTGCACTACAAGAGTGTAACTGCTAAGCTTTCAGTTTTGAAATCATAGAATGGTTTGGGTTGGAAGGTCCCCAGGGATGATCAAGTTCCAACCCCCTGTCACAGGCAGGGCCACCAACCTGCAGATCTGGTACTAGATCAGGCGACCCAGGGCTTCATCCAGCCTGGTCTTGAATGCTTCCAGGGATGAGGCATCCACAGCCTCTCTGGGCTTGGTGTTGGCATTTTCATTAATTTCAAGTGTGAAAAAACTGGGAGAAAAGAAAGATCATTTGTTCTGACTCTGAGGTTGAGTGAGTGCAGACAGTCTTTGATGACTGTCATGAAATTAATGACTAGACAAAAACCTTGCAGAAAAGCTTTCTTTAGAAGTATGCTAGATTAGTTTCATATGTCTTGTATATACTCTTGGTTGTTTTTTTTTTTTACTAAGAGTAATACACTTCCTTTACAGATAATGTGTCATCTTGGTAATCAACTTTTTTTTTTAATGCAGCGATTATCCAGAGGATGAAAACATCAAAAATCTGATTCAAGAGCAGCTGAATTCACTGTCAAAGTAAGAGTTTTCTCTTTAATGTTTTATTAAGGTAGTGAGTTCAGAGAAGGGGGGGAAAAGAAATATATTCTCTCATGAAAGAATAAACCCTAATACAATACAATTCTTACTATATAGGCAACTGTCTCAAAGTAGTTGGTTAAATATTGACCCAACAGTCAAAATGTGTTGTTCTGACCACATAAAGTCTGATGGAAGTCAGTACTGAATGTTTACCATTGTAGTAGTGACTGCCAGCAAAAGATTTAAAGGTACTGATTAGAATTAGTGTGTAATTTGTAACTGGCTCATGACATGCTGAAGTTTATTAATTTATACTGCTTCTCCAAGGTTTGTTGAGATATTTAGGCTCTCAAAAGGAAAAGAAAAACTCTTGTGAAAAATACTCTACTGGAGATAGACCTGCAGCATGTAATGTTCATGCTCTCTGCTCTGCTTACAAAGAAAACAGGTTGTTGGCATTCTGCTTGAACTATGGCAATTAGATTGGAAGCTTTTCCATTTTCCCTTTTCTTTCATTTAATAGGATGGAAAAAAAAAAACTTAGAGTATTTTTGGGCACTTTGAAAAATACATAAAAGCTCTCACTTCATACACTGTGTAATTATGTAATTATTTGTAATTGAATTAATTTTGTAATTTGTAGAATCAGTGCATATTGAATTACAGCATTGTATACACCCTTGTGGTGGCTTCCTTTATTGCAAGAATAAGGTGTTCTTGACACTCACTGTTGGTATTAAGCAGGTAGAGTAAGTTGCTCATTGTGGTTATTACGTGTCATTAAATGGTTTTTGCAATTACTTTGATAGAAACATTTTTTTTTACTTCAGAAAAGAAAATGATATGTTTTTAGTTCTGTTTTGTTTTAATTTGTTAGATAATATGTGCTAACAAAAACCTTGCACAGCATTTTATGGATTTCTCCTTTTGCAGTGACATCAAGAAACTTCTGCTTGATCCAGAGTTTACTCTTTTGCAGAGATGTCTCCTAATTGCCAGGTAGCAGATATTCAGAGAACTGTATGAAATATGTCAGAATAAAATCCTTATCCATTTAATGCATATGAATATGTCAAAATTTAAGGTGCCAGCTAATTCTGTGTTAGCACACTGAAGCTGCTGAAGTACTTTGCTGTGCATCTGTTACAGCGTTTTCAGGACTGAAAGTGAAAATGTTACAAAGCTGAGAGAGTTTTGTTTGCTTACTGCATATACAGATCCTTTGTTCTTCGTGATGCTTTCATAGGATGTATTTCTGCTCTAATGTGTTGAACACTTGTACAGCATTCCAAGGCCATAATTGAGAACTTTACAACATAGAATAGATAGTGTAAGCAGGGGAGGGCCTATTTTCATTTTATTTCTTTTTTTTTTGTGGTGTAGCTCTGTATCAGTCTGTATCCAGAGACGTGTTTTCAAACATTTCTTTTAGTTTGTAAACAGTGTTGTTGTTTAAGTGTAAAATATTAGTTAAAAAAATCCATCACTTACAAGCTGAAAATTCAGTGAGTTTATTTGCTGTTGTGAAAGTCTTTTGACCAACCTCTTATCTATCTGTCTGAATCTTTTCTTGTAGTCTGTCCCATTGATAATGCAAAATTGTCCCACAATAATGCAACTTCCTTGTAAAAGGACAAGTTAAATGTACAATATTTCTATCTTAAAAAATGCTGTCTTGTTTCTCATGCTGAATTCTGTTTTCTCAGACTGTATGGAGATGAGTCTGAACTGCATTTCTGGACCATTGCTGCCCACTATTTGCACAGTTTATCCCAGGAAAAACCTGCAAAACCAACAGATGCAGTTATCCTTCAAGAACAGCTGGTTAATCCATTGGATATATGCTATGACATACTATGTGAAAGTCATTACTTTCAGGTATTCCAACGAATTACAAATTATGCAGGGAAAAGCCCTAAGACGTATATTTCACTTCTATTGTAAGCACACAACTCTGAATTAAGTCATTCCCTGTTATTTAAATAGGAGCTTTTTAGAATTCCCCAAGTATTTCCTTGGGGTTTTTTTTTGTTGTTGTTGTTTTTTTTAATTGCTTGCTTCTCTCTCTTCTCTTAGTCTTATATTCTTAATAATTCTTCTTCATGCAGAAATTTCAGCTCGAAAGGGTAAATCTCCAGGAGGTGAAGAGATCAACGTACGATCATACCAGGAAATGTGCTGACCAGCTTCTTCTCTTGGGCCAGGTTTGTGGGTAATATTTGAATGTTGTGTCCTTCTGCTCTGTCTGTTTTATATTTTTGCCCTATTCAGTTAATGTCTGTTTTATCTCATGTTGTTTCATCCCACTAAATACTTTTTGCTGTCTTAATGTGTTATTATGCTGTAGCCTCCATGTGACTGCTTGGTGTATTATAATGCACATATCATTTTCATGGGAACCTTATAAAAACCTTTCCTTGTATTCCTGGGACTAGAAAAGAAAAATTACAATTTGAATCATACAAAAGTCTAACAAACCCAGTATCTTTGGTCTAACTCTGTCTGCACATAGTACTCTCATAATAGGTAATAATAGGCATGTCTGAGCTTTCACTGCAGTGTCTCTGATCTGATGGGTCTGTACTGAGCAGTAAAACACTGTAGAGAGCTGCTTACTGAGTCCCTGATATGAATAATTTGAATCTAAATGACTTCTGTACCACTGTGTGTTTGGGCACGGCAGCAAATATATGTAAAAATGGCAGAAACATTACCTCATTACAGTGAAGTGGCAGTGGTGCTCCACCTGTGGGGTTTCATTCCATTCAGAAGCAGGTTGTAGTTGGTGTATGAGCCTCCATAGTTCAGCTCTTGAGCAGCTACTCTAGAGTCGATGGCTGTCTTGAGATGCCTAACATTTAAACGGATGAATTCCTCCTTTGTTTCAAAATACCAGCTATTAAATCAACTGTTCAGATCCTGGTTTTTATATCTCTACATTATATTTCTCCTCTGCTTATTTTAAGTGCTTCTCTTCCTTCTATAACTTTGCTAAGATTCAAGGAAAGAAGTGTTCTCAACTAAACTTTTCTTTTGCCCCTAGTAGAACTCGTAGGCTGTGGTTAAACATTATGTGCATGATGAATGCTATCCTAAGGTTGCTGTACTGAAATAAAGCTATAACCATTACTACCCTGCTACGTATCTCTGCAGTCTGCTTTTGAATAACTTTCACTGTTGTTTGTTTCATGTGTTAAAAAGAGTAACAAATATATAAATATAAGGACTTCTGTTTGAGAGTGAATGACTTGAAGTCAAAGCTGTATGTTTTTCTCTTGTCAGACTGACAGAGCAGTACAGCTGCTGTTAGAAACAAGTTCAGAGAATGCACATTACTACTGTGATTCACTCAAAGCTTGCTTGGTAACAACTGTCACATCATCAGGTCCATCTCAAAGCACCATCAAGCTGGTAGCAACCAACATGATAGCTAATGGAAAGCTCTCAGGTAAAATGGGACTTGAATTTTGTTTGCTTATAAATTAAGCAATTCTGTGTGTTATTAATGCTTGTAATGCCACAGGGAGTGGAATGAGTCCTTTTCTGTAGCATATGTAAAATGGAGGAATGCTAGGAAGAGATGTATTTAATAGAGCTATTTTTTTCTGGTGGTGAATGATCTGCTCACAGTTGTATAGTAACACTTTTTTTCCCTTATTATATATTCTAATTTCTTATTTTCCAGAGGGTGTTCAGTTACTGTGTCTGATAGATAAGGCTGCTGATGCTTGTCGCTACTTGCAAACTTATGGTGAATGGAATCGTGCAGCATGGCTTGCAAAGGTTTGCAGTTTCTCTGCTTTTGCTGTCCTAACATGAATGACCTACATAGGTATGAAGCACAGTGATAGTATTAAGATCTCCAAAGTTAAAAACCTGAAGGATCAATTTGAAAATAATATTTGTTCTTTCCATGTTTTAAGCTTTAAGAAGCCAATGTTTTCAGCTAGCACTCACAGGTCCTTCAGCCTTTTGACTGCTGAGGTCTGCCCTACTCATCCAAATGACAAGATTGGACCCAAAATATAGTTGGAATACTAAGTTTTCTAACTTCAATTTATGAAATTGTATATAGTCACAACTACAGAGAATTCATTGTGAAGTGTAGAAACCCATTCCTGGAAGTGGATAAATAATTAGACAGTGATTTAGTGCAGAGCTCCATGTAGCATTTGTGCTGATCTTAACATGAGCACCAGCCACATTAGCACCAACTTTGGTTTCAGTATGTACACATTATAAAATCGTGTACCTGTAAAAGTACCTAGACTGTATTAAATTGTGTAGGAAACAAGTCACTGAGGATTATCTTTGAGTAGTCTGTTTCTCCTGCAGAAAGCATGGAAAAAGACTTTCTTGGATTTTTTTAAGTGGATCATTCTCTCTCTCAAGAAAAAATAAAGATGCATTGTCCTTCAGTCTTCAGAAAAAATAAACATTCCCAACGTCACAATACCTGAGGTTTTAGTAAAGTCTTATTTAAAGGAAAAAAAAAAAAAAAGAAAAAAAAGAAGAAAAGAGTTAAGTACATTTAAATATTGAGTGACCTGAGTGGACTTCTGATATATCTGTGTAATTCTTTTTTTCTTTGTTGTATTTGCTCAAAGGATTAGGACACTTTTTGAAATAAAATTGTTAATTTGAGATGCTTTTCCTTCTGCCCGAAGGACTGGAAGAAGTGGAAGAAAGCTCTGTTTAGCTAGAATTCATAATCATTTTTCCATCTCCTGAAGGTTCGCTTGAACTCAGAGGAGTGTGCTGATGTGTTAAAGCGTTGGGTGGATCACCTTTGCTCTCCACAAATCAACCAGAAGTCCAAAGCCATTCTTGTCCTTTTGTCACTTGGTTGCTTTACAAAAGTTGCAGAGATGTTGCACAGGTAAAACTGAAACAGCCATCATCTGTGTTTTATGAACACAGCAGCTTAGAAGTCCAGGGGGAAGGAGAGGGCCTACAATTTGCTTTTAGACATTTGTTTCTATTTCAGTATGTGTTTTGTGGTGTGTGTGTGTGATGTGGGAGCGTGAACATATGCCATGGTGGCAGCTCAGTGGTGGCACTGTTTTAACCCCGGTGATGTTCAGAAGCTCGGTACAGCTGTCAGTGCAGAAGAGATCTGCCACTCCAGAGCTACATGCAAACTTCTAGAAAGTCTGTGTGCAACTGTTTTGATGCAATATTGAATACTTTTCTGTTTTGCTGTCCTAACAAATAATTCCTTTTTTTTCCCCCCATTTTGCAGTATGAGATACTTTGATAGAGCGGCTTTATTTGTTGAAGCTTGTCTGAAGTACGGGGCATTTGAAATCAATGATGATACAAATATCCTTTTTCTGAAATCCTGTTTTTTCATCTGTGTTACTTATTTACAGTTTTGTGTGAGTCAGTGTTAGGTTAACCAGCCTGCACAGGAATAGAAGATTCTGCTTTTGTTTTCCAGGATGTGTGCTTGAAGGAGATGTGAGGAAAGAACTGTAAAGGAATCATTTGCATAGATACATAAAACCTCCTTCTCCTGATGCTCTGTGAGGTCAGTGGCACTGTGAAACAAATGAACAGTTAAAAATAGAAGTACAGATGATAAAATGTTCTTTACAGAGCTCAGAAGTTGTTACTTCAGACTGCATAGTAAGGTCAGTGGTTTGACAACCCTCTGTTGACAACCATACTGCTGACTGAAGTGCTGTGTGAAGGTTTCAATTTTGGGAAGGTGAAAACAAATGAAGTTAAAGGTCAGGATTCAGGGTAATCTGAAGAAGTATCTAAAGTCTTCTGCAGTACAGTCTGCCCTTCTGGTCTGATCTTCTTGAACTCTGAACATTTGCTCTTACACTTTTATTTAGGTGTGTGCAGTAAATGATAATGCACATGTAAATAATACTTGACTGTCATCACTGATGACTCCTTGTAAATTAAAAAAGCCACTGTCCCATTATGGGAGGTAATGTCAGACACATCAAACTGGTGACCACATGATCTACCTTTTTTTTTCCACAAATTTTGACGTTATATTGCTGTATATGCTTCTGCTTATATGGAATTTGTCTGTTTTATCTTATAGCACTTCATGTATTGCCTGGTAAATGGTAATATGCATTCAGTAGTAGAATTTAAAGCAGCATTTTTTTCCATTTTTTGGTTTAGAACATATAGCAGCAACGTTCAGCATTTTCAGCTTGGGAGAGCTGAGGAGTGAGTTTAGAAAATGGGTTCTTATATTTTCATTTTGCTTTTGTATCTTCCTTAATGCTTCCTTTACATAAACTGATCCATGCTGTCTATGCAGATTATGCCAAAGGCTTGAAGCTCCTGGGCTTTAGGCAAGGAGCTATTTTCTTTGCCTCAAAAGCAGGAGAAGCTGGTAAAGATTTATTGGTTGAGCTCAAACAGCCTAAAGGGGAAGCGATGGAAGTGACAGAAGAGTAGCAATTCTGTATTTACTGCTAAGAGGAGTTCTTCTATCAAACTGGATTGTCCATCAGATTGATATTGCACTGTGTGAAAATGCGCTTTCTCTTGAATCGCTGTAATAGCTCATGTGTGATTTGAGCAAATAATGTTAAATGTGTGGGGAGGCAAATTTAAGAACTGTTTTGTTTATTCTTAAATTGTCTTCATTTTCAAGAGAGAAGGAAAAAAAGGCTATGATAAAATTATACAGGAATATTTTCAACTTTTTCAACTGTAGCGGAAATCGAACGGAACAAAATGCTGAAAGCGTTCTGTACCTGTGTGAGAGCCTGCTCCATTTACTTCCAAAAATCAAAGCTTTATAGTTCTTCACTACTGTTGTATTTATATGTATAAATGATTCAATCTGTACTATAAAAATATGAATTTATGTAAAGAATAAACACAGATCACAAAACACACACAGATCATTCCTGGAAGGTTGTTTTCTCAAATCCAATTTTTCTCTTTAAAATTACTGTTATTTTACATGAGTTCCCTTTGTTGTCTTTTTCACACCAGGATGGAATGAAATCTAACAGATTTATTTACGAAAGATTCCAAACATTCCAGAAACCTATGACATGTCTTCTTTTTCCATTAAGATCTTGTTATATTTGGTGTCATTCATAATTGAGCACTGCCTGCACTCCTTAGGGACTAAATTCTGCCTTGTCTTGACTGTTTAATGGGATCAAAGGATGGGAAAATTATCCTACCTCAAAAAGCAGTAAGGTGGGCTCCTCAGAATGTTCAGAAGGATGCTAATGCTCTCTCCACAGCTACTATTCTGTAAGGTATTTCAATGTGTCGTGAATCAAGAGGTGGAAAGAGCGTTGGATGAAGCAAAAGGTGTTGGTTTTTTTTCATTACTTTATATGATATCACATCTTGTGGTCCATATACTTAGGGATGCTACTGAAAGCATCTCTCTTCATTTTTTTGCCAGTATTTCAGCAGGATCAAAACAGCTTCCCACAGTATTTTAGTGTTGATGCATTTGTTTTCATTATTGTTCCTCACATTAGAAATGTCTTTTCTATTTATTACTGTTTGACTGAGAGATTTTGCAGCTGAAGAGTGGATGCTAATGTTAGACTGCATTTGCAAATGAAAGACTGTGGCATGTGAAAATAAGAGTTGGCTGAAAAGGCTAATTATTTAAAGGAAGTTGTTGGAGCTGCTGAAGTTCAGTATGCAGCAGTGAGAAGAATCATATCATGTAAGAAGTTTCCCATCTGAATGTAATTCATGACTTTACTACTTAATGTAGTTGTGTCTTTGACTCTTCTTAAGCTTGAAGATTTGTAAATGCATATTCCATATTCCTTCTTAGAGCAGCACTACCTTCATTACCTCTCTTCAACTCTGGAAACCTTTTAATTAAAATCCAGCATAGCATTTCTGAGAACACACTGATTTTGTACAAGTTGAAAATGTTTTGTTGCTCTAAAAGTGAATGTTTTATATAGATAATGTATCTTATGTAGGTTGTCCCATATCTTATACACATCATTAAAGATGTTCAGTGGCTTATGAATTATACCTACATACTTGCTTGGGAAAACAAGCATACAATGAAATTTGCCTTAAGTATTAGCTGGTGAGCAACAAAGTTAAGCAAAGTAAAATGTCATTATCAGTGGGCTAAATTCAGGCTGCCATTGACTACAACAGCACTCCTGAGTTCCTTTGCTTGATTTCAATAGCAGTAGTGCAGGACAGGGACACCAGAGACTTAATGTAAGCACACTCAGACTTTGGCAGATTACACAGAATGGTTTGTCACTGGGTCTCTGGCAAAGGCCTTTTGCTACTGAGTGTTTCTATATACTTTCAAGTGTGAAGGTGCAGAATACCATGTGCTTATTCCCTCATGAAACTTTTATGATGAAAATACAGTGTAGAAGTGATTTAAAAGTTTTCTTTAGATAGAAATGCAATCACAGTAATAAAAGAAAAATCTTTCTAAATCTGTGTGTCTTTATTTAATGCAAAAATGTCATCTGTTGCACTTGGAATCTGGAACGATGCTCATGGCTGCTTTTAGAAGGGGAAGTGATCACCCTTTATATGTATTAGGCACAATTTCTCTACTGGTCCCAATGACAGTCACAGATTCTTTAGGACTAAGTGGGTTTGATCAGCTGCCCAAATCTGTATTCTATGATATGTCTAAGTACATAATTGCTGGTGGTGGATAAAGTAACAACACTGCTGAGTATGGAAAGTGCTGGAATGCAGAATAGTTTGCTGAATGTGGTATGTGAACTGTTTGATTCTGCAGTGTGGGCAGTAGTGAAAAGAGGGACCTAACATTTCTCTGCTGGGTCTGAAAATCAGGTGAGAAAGGTAATTAAGCTTGCCTTGGTTGTGCTTAAGTTTTAGCCTACCCAATTTGTCGCATGGTCTGAGTGGTCAGAGATATGGGTTGATGGTTGGACTTGTTGATTTGAGAGATCCTTCCAACCTTAGTGATTCTATGAAACTTAAAAGCACGCTTTGTGGCTCTGTTAATCCCAGCAGAATCATTTAGTGGGGAACTCGATTTCTGATAATACCATGACAGTTGTACTGCTTCCATTGGTCCATTTATGACTTTATGATAATATGTGAAAATAAGACTACTCTTTGTGTGTATTTGCTTTTACCCTCTGCTATTTTAACAGATACGCAGCTTTTAATAGAGTATCTAATTGACCTTTACAGTGGACTATTCTTGACTTTCCAGAAAGGTAAGGTCTGAAATTGATTTGTTTTTTGAAGCAGGATGGAAGATTTGAACACAGTGAAGTTGTTTTCTTGGATCATGTGCACAACTCCTTGTTCTTTTCAAGCTCATTCTTCTTAATGGGTGGGCACATGTTGGCAAAGCAGCAAGTGAGGCTTTGCTGTCTGCCTGCAAAGAACTGTGCTTTGTTGTGACTGCTTCCTGTGAGTGTCAGAGTTGCAGTTCAAAATTGGACAGAATGGGTGGGATCTTTGTATTTCTTTAAAGAGGACCCCAAATACAAGATTTACCCTTTCTAAATGCCTTGCTTCTGTGACAAGCATTCATTATAGGCAGTGAACGGAGAGGTCTGACAAAAGTACACACTGACAACTCAAATGGGAGACACTGATTTCCGTCCTGCAAAATTTAGCAGTGCTGAATAACGAAGAGAGACTATTGTTGATAGAACCAGTTTCAAAACTACCAGAATGCTCCCAGCCTCCCCCAATAGAGAACTCTGACCTTTTCAGTGTGTTCTGTTATTTTGCTGTCTCCTCAGCCCGTGTGAGCAAACAAAGTTGTAATGAGTTGGGAAGAGACGACCACCAGGTGACCGTGCAGCTGAAACGTCCTGAAGTTCCTGTTGCCCCAAGAATGTAAGTGTTAGTTCCACAGTCTGAGGACTTTCCAGCGAATTATTAGCACTGGTTTTTGCTGCTTTCTACGTTATACAACTTGTCAGTAGGAGCTGAAGAAAAATACTGCGGAAAAAGGCTTCCATTTCCCTACATTTAGGAAAGGAAGGCATGCACAGTTATTTTTTCAAACTGGAAAAAAAATAAAATAAAATAAAATAAAATGGGGTGTTTTCCTTCTCCTTTCCCTTTAGAAAAATAGTTCTCGAATACTTATCAAGCCAAAGAGACTTTTCTTTATGATAGTTTCTTCCAGCTCTGTTCTGCGGTTTACCTCAACATCTGCTTTCTTTTTCCACTTTCCCAACTTATGCCTGGTTTTGATTAAAACCAAGCCGAGATGCATGGCAAGAAAAAAGCAGCCTTCCAACACCAGGAGAGCAGGAAGGCGATTTGTCAGCGATCGCCCGGTCCGGAATGCGATATTTTCTGGTAGCAGCTTTTGCTCCTAGCAGGACTGGGCTAACATACAGCTTTTACATGATTATTGTATGTCACAACCATCTCATCCAAAAGCCAAGAGACGTTCTTTGAACCCAACCAAAATCATCTGTTTATTCTTTTGGACTGCTTTGCAGGCAAATTCCTCACCACAGAATTAGGGGCAAAGGGCATTCTTCTCTTTGTGATTCCGCCACGTTTTCATTTTCAATGAAGTTTTATAAATGTTTGTTTTTCTTCAAAATTCCACTGTTTTGTGGCAGCGTGCCTCTAACCTGTCAGCACAAGAGGTGGTGTAAGTAGGCAGTGTAGATAAGCTAGCCTACTTTTATATTGTCTCACTGGATGTCTCCCTCACAGATACAGACTGGTGGCTGGATATAAACATATATATTTTACTATTATATTTGTTTTCTATTATTATTATTATATTTACTCTCCCCTCTCTCCATTCAGAAGCTCTCACCATCACCCCTTCCCAGCTTTATTTTTGCTCATCCTCCAACTCCTGTCCCCTCCTCAGGGTAGAACTACATCTCCGGAAGCCGCAAGATTGCGGTATTTCATTGAAACCCTCCCAGAATTTCTCAAACCATCAGTTTCCAGTTCATGCAGGAGAGGGCAGCAGAGCTCAGGGAATGGGGACAGTCACTCACAGCGATAAAATGAGTTCTAAGGGGCGTGCTGCGTTTTACCCCTAATTCTGTCCTCGAAGTGGGGCAGCCCTAAGGAGCCAGCCAGGCAGGACAAGCTGATTTCGGTGTGATTTACGACTGGCTGCAGGCTGCTAGGGAGAAAAGGAGGATATTGAGGACAGCCAGGTTTCTTATAATGCGATAAGAAGTTGGAGATTGGGATAAGCTTAAGCACCAGGCTAACCCTCTCTTGAAATCTGCTTTGGCTTGATAAGTAAATGCTTGAAAATGCATGATAAGTACAATGTTAAGCATTACCTTGCCTCTAATGCAGACAGGTAGATCTGTTACATTCAGGTGGCTGGCTGTAGCCCAGTCTAGTTTGGTCTGTTTCTGTGTTGAACAACTGTTTCTTAATCATCCATTATTTACAATAAAGGGGAGATTTTGCTTCCAAGAAAATACTGAGCACAGAAATCACAGCAAGCGTGTGCTCTGTTCAGGTGTTGAAAGCAGTGTTTCTGCACTGACCTGGAGAATCAGAGGATGCTTATGCCAATAACCCATGGCATAATGCTGGCAGCGCTCCTGCGAAGCACCGTGGATCACAGAAGCTGATTCTGTGTGTGTGGGAGGAAGAAAAGAGCACAGAAAATTTACAACAGGAAAAGTTCTTTCTGACTGTTTTGAGATTTACATACCTCAGCACTGCCGGAATGGGCATTTCTGGTGCATAGCAATAGCTGGCTGTGAGTTTCAGTATGATTTGAGCGTTTTTAAGTAAGCAAGAAGCATTGGGAGCACAACTGGCCGTCTGTTTTGAACAACAGATATCCTTAATCAATCTATTATGAATATTGTTGTTGTTTGTATAGTTTCCTAACTCTTGCACCCTGCTGTGCGTCTCCTGGCTACACGGTGTCATCCTTTTTGGAGAGAACCCAGCCGGAGCTGCCTCTCATCCAACCCACAGCCAGGTAGTGACACTTCCAGCCCTACCTGAAACAGATCTGAATGCAGAGCAGTTCAGCAGGAATCCACCCCTGTGTGCTCAAATCAAGAGAGAATCAGATATATCCACCAGCTCAGCGAAGGACATGGTTTCTTTGGACCACGTGTGTATCCCCTTGGAGCTTTCAGTGGCTGGTGTCTATGGTGAAGTTTGCACTTAATACAAAGCATCTCATTTGCTAGATAGAATTCTTTAGCTAACATGGTAGAAAGCTGTGAGAAAGCCCATGATGAGTCCCACGTTGAAATTACTCTCACAACTACTGGAACAGGTTGCCTAGTTTTACTTCATCTTTCTGTGGTGGTGCTCACTTGTTTGCCCACGACCTTGAGGAGGCAGTGAGATGCTCTGAGCAATGAGTATTGCTGAATCTCTCACTTGCACATCTAGTCTGAAGCCAGCTCAGACTGACAGAAGTTGCACCCCAGGAGAATAATAAATTGCTTGCATAAACAAAGATGATGTAAACGGATGATGTCAGGGGAGCTCTTTCCTAAAGCTGTCCTGGGTTGTCCTGATGCAGTCTTTTCATAGCTTTCATCTTACAAAAAGGTCTAAGGAATGAACTTCCTTCTCTCAGCCTCTGTTGTGATCCAGCAACAAAGCTGGGCGCAGGACTGGGCTGCATCAGTCAGGACCTACCCATATAACCTAGCATAATATGCAGAATACTGATCGTAATATCACAAAGGAGGGGAAAAAAAGAAAAAAAAAGATATTTTATAGATTGCATGTATTTTTGGCCCTACTACAGCAGGAATGTTTTCATAGGAACCAAACATAATATTTGGAGGGGTGCCTCTTTGTATGTTAACTACATATCTGTCTTTCAAAATAAATCATTGACTTGATCAGAAAATAAGAGGGCCATAATTGTTTTATCTCAAAATTTCAGCAATTGCATTTGTTTGTAGGGATGTCTGACTAACCATGCAACCATTGTGAAGTATATCTATATTGAGAGAAATAGTTCCTGTTTAGTATAGCTCTCTGTCATACAGAATTTTCAGTAAAAGTTATGTTAAAGCCATTTCATCTGAAAGTCCTTAGCAGTAATAATAATCTTTGGAGAACCTCATAAGTGTACTTTTTTTGTCAGTGTAAAGCTTCTCAATCAGTACATTGAGAGTGAACAGGAGTTGGATTTGGTGGTTCTGGTGGATCCCTTTCAGTCTGGAAATCCTATCGTTTCAGATATTGGCCAACAACCACAAAACCAAACTATTTGTGAAGCAGGACTATGGCAGGGACTGAGCATTGCATTGCTCCAAGAATTGCCCTCATCTTTGGTGAGGTGCCCAAACAGGCAGGACTGGAGCAAAGAATAGTGACAGTTTTGATGTTGTGCAGCTCAGAACCTATTGTAGCTTGAAAGAACAGAGGAATCCCAACAGTAGAAGACCTTCTCTTTTTTTTTTTTCCTTCTTTTTCTTTCTTTCTTTTTTTTCTGTAGCACTTCATGCACCACGAATTAGAA